TGTGCAGACAGAGGTCGCAAAGTGTAAGGCAGGTAGGTCGACAATTCTGGAGTTGGATGTGAGAGGAGGCAGAGGGTGGGTTGTCCCTCTTCTTTTTTAGCACAGAGGAACCAGTGGGAGGGGGTGGGGAACAGTTAGATAACAAAGGGTTTAGGGGAGGGTGGGTGTGAAAGGTGGGAAGGACACGTTTTGAAGGATTTGGCGAAGGATACAGGGGTAAAGGGGCAAGGTTTAGGACAGGCGCTCTTGACTATTCTGCGTGGTGGGTGGGGTGGTGTTCGCCAAAAATGGAGACGGAAGTGGCCTCACTATCAACGAGGACAAGCGTGGGGAGATCAAGAGGAAGGAGGGGGGGGGGGGAAGGAAAGGAACGCTGTGCAAAGGATGGGAATGACATGTTTGATGGTTGGAATGTGCACGGAGCTTGTGCACCCTGGACTATTGGACTCTGACGGTGGGGGATTGTGGGAAAGGGAGTTACCGCTCCCGTGTTTTCTCCAGCAGAACTGGGGAGAGGAGGGTGGGGGAAGCATGAGGAGGAGGGAGGAGAAGTTGGGTAGGAATGGCGAGTCGAATTGTCGAAAGGCCAAGGAGGTTGATGAGGACGCGAAAAAGTTGTGTGAGAGCAACAAAACCATGGTACTCGCACGTCCTCATTTATTACTGCATTTTTTTTACTTTTTTTTTACTGCATTTGCATTTTTTAATTCAGTATTTTGCCTAATTCTTCAAATCGGGCAACTCCTGTAAGTCCACAAATCATAGAACAAGTTCAACAACCGAATAAGAAAATTCCAGAGGAAAAAAGGCACCTTGATCTAGGCTACCAGCCGGGCCGCCCGGGTCCCGGGTGGCCAGCCTGTGCAAAGAGGTCCCAGCAAAAAAAAATCCAAAAAATCCGAAAAAAAAACTATGTTATGCAGAAAAATAAACTAAACAACTTTTGCCTCAGGGTCACATCGAAATTCTTCACCAAAATTAAAATAAAATTAAAAATTAAAAAAAATATATTTTTTTTTGTTGTTTTTTTGGCCCGGCCGGGCAAGTGACCCCGGGCCACTCTGGTAGCCTAGACCTTGATATGATTATCCGCACTATTATTAGTGCTTGATCATTGGTAATGGTTTTTCATCTGCGGGAAATAACAGCAGCAATCCTGTGATGTATGCTTTGTATATTGTTTCCTATCTTGGAAGGTGATGATCACAGGGGATCAGGCGTTGACGGCTGTCCACGTGGCATCACAAGTGCACATTGTTTCACGACCTGTGCTCGTTCTCACCCTGGGAGATGATGGCTCCTTCAGCTGGATATCTCCTGATGAGGCGGTTCAATTACCATTCAGGTTGGCATGTCTCTCTTGTTTGAAATTGGACAAAACAAATTAATAATTATTAAATTTTTGTATACTATACTTCATTTATTCAGTATGAAACACTAGGAAATAGTATGAATGCTATGATTTATCTTTATTTATTTTATTTTCATTTACGGTGCTGTATTTTACAGAATTAGTTAGATTCTTAAATTGATTCTTTTATACGTGTCAGATTTATGTGTGTATTTGAAGTGTTTACTATTCAGTGAATTTCAGTCGTTAATATTTATTTATTTAGGAAGTTTTTTTATGCCCGGTCGGGCACCCAGGTGTGACGCCCGGGACACCGGGGCATGAAAAAAAAAAAAAAAAAAAGTAAAAAAAAAGCCTTTCTGCGCTCTCCTTGAGGACCCCAAATCCGGGCTCTTTTCAATTTTTGAGAGTTGGCTGTCAAGGGGCGGGTATAAATTTGTTTTAAGGGGGCTAAGGGGGTTTAAAGGGGGTTGCCTTAGTGTGATATTGTTATTTTCTTTTCTATCTCCGATTCGGTGAGGAATTCTGATGTGACCCTCAGCCAAAAGTTGTTTGTATTGCAATTCTACACAACATATATTTTTCTGGAATTTCGTTTTTTTTTTTTTTTTTTTTTTTTTTTTTTTTTTTTTTTTTTTTTTTTTTGGCGCTCGGGCTGCCCGGAACCCTGCCCAGGGGTCATGCCCAGCCGGGCACCCGGGCATGTATCCGGGCACAAGTTGGGTGCCAGGACGCCCGGAAAAACAGCCTAAATATTTATATCATTTGGTCTTACTTTTGTTCCCTGGCAATCTCAGCTGTCGGTGGGGTTTTGGATCTCTTGTCGCTCGTATTTTTTTGGTAATAATTACAACAAGGCATTTTTTAAGCAAACTTAAAATAGAAATTCGAATTGTCTGAAGTTGTGGATTCTGACTTGCCGGTGGAATAGGAACCGGACTATTCCCCCCAGAATGGATATGGAGCCAGCCTCAGCCAGGTCCATCAGTTTTCTCTTTCCCTTTTATTTGTTTCTCTTCATGATTTCTCTACATGATTCTCCCGCTGAAATTTATGTCGAGGTGTGTGGGGCTGGAGTTTGGGTTTTCGTATGTCCGTACGCTTCTGCTCAATATCCATGCCGCGCAGCTGAGTGGGAAAGTATGGTTCCTCCCGAACGCTAGAACTTGCGTTTGGCGAGTCCTTGTGGAAGTTTGCGACTGCAGGCTGATGAACCCGAGTATTGGACAGACTGATGAACCCCCCGAGCCGTGGGTGGGCAGGGCTACAAGATATAGTACACCTACGACACCCTTTTTTTTCACGAAATCAGTTCAAATCACAAATTTCTGAAAACAATTTTTGGAGGAGCAGGTATCTCACCTAGTCCATGGCTGGTGGGGGTTGGCCAAAAAGGCCAAAACAGCCTAAAAGGATCGCTGGCCTCCGATTTCTAACGGCCAGCTGCCCCTTTATTTTGGCCAGCTGGCGTCATCGTTTGGCTGTTTTATTATTATGTTTATCTTCTCGGCCAAAAGTTGTTTTTATGTTTTGTATTTTTTCTACAAAAGCACTCGTGTTATGGCAATCAGAACTGGGAATGCCTCACAGACAACCCAGACAGAATGAACACACTGGGATCATTACCCAGCCTCGGTTTGATCAGAGGAGAAACACCTCTGGGCGCAGAAAATGGCTAAGGTGAAGCAGCTGTCGTGAGAGCCTCCACCATCGAGATGCCCGACAAAAAAATTTAATTGTTGAATGGTATGAAAAACTTTCATTTTTCCATGTGTAATCCGAATACAATGAGTGATTTTCTGTTCCAAAAATGGAGAAGCGGATTTTACAACGTTAGTCTTTTTATTTTATAATGATTTTTCCCAAAATTTCGTACAAAAATCTGAGCTCGAGAAATCGTCAAAGCTGGCACACTCAAACTTTTGCGCACAGCCGCTGACCACCCCAGCCACGCCGCCTTGTGGTGTACTCAGCGGTAGTTCGATTGCGGAGCGCCAAGTGGAGTGGTGGTTTATGCTGGGAAAACGAGTTCGAACTTCAGCTGGATTGCCCAAGGAGGGGGGAGGGGGGGACGGGGAGGGGGGGGGGGGGGGAGGGGGGGAAGAATTATGTGCTTGATATTAGGCTGTACTCGAGAGCTCTGTTGGGCAGTGTCTCACATTATTGTATCTGTCAGGATTTGAACTCATGATCTCTGTTGAGAAGTTAGACGTCATTGTCTACTATTCAGCCACAAGGCGGGTGGTACGTTGGACTTTAAACTATTTGTTTCCTTGATGTTCCTATTTCTTCCCCCTCTGTCGCTTATTGTCATTTTCCGTGCTTCTTTCTTCCCCATGTATTGTTTGTGTGTCCATCTCAGAATCGAAGAGGTCGAGCAGGTGGCATCTACGTATGACCTATGCGTGGCTGGAGAAGGCTTGGCATGGCTCGCAAGGCAAGAGGCGCTGGATGTTGTCATTCCTCGAGTACAGGTATGTTAGACTTGAGCATTCGATTGTTATGAATCGAGGAGGTAGAGTCAAAGAGTTGCCTGGTGTAAAATACCCATAATTGTATTCAAGGAGTAAAAGACTTGGACAAGGAACTCCTAATCGACGTCGAGGCAGATCAAAATATGTGGTAGTACCAAGAAACCCAAAATTGGAATATGAACCAAAAAATCTCGGTGTCTCGCTCGTCGAGCCCTTTTCTGAGGGCGTATTCACACTCCGACTGTCCATAATTATAGCCAGAAATTCCCATGGTCTTACGCGCAGTGTGTACAAGGCCTGAGTACATATTCACCACGGCATGCTGATCCACGATTGCTACCGTCTTCACCCGAATAGAACGCCCGGTCATTGTTCCAACTTCTTGTTCTCGAGCTGCAGAGAACAATCCGAACTGAGGCAATGTTTCTGGATTCGCTCCGCCTTAAAGCATTAATCCTGAAACATCGAAAAGGTCCTAGTCTGAGTATGCCCTAAGCTGCTCATTTGAGTCCTGTTCCGAAGTCTCGCGTATACCAACTTGCAGCAGCTGTTGGTGGGCGAGAGCATCTCACCATCCGCCACAACAAAAAAAAAAGGGTATCTTGAGAGCTAAGTATTAGAAGATGTATAACTTTCTCGCCTTTTCAGCTATAAGATCGCGTGTAGTGTAATTTCTGATCAGTTTAATATCCGATCCATGGTCCATTGGGCCACTGGGAAAAAAAAAAAAAAAAAAAAAACTGAGAACATGACAATATGTACCAATCCACCTTTTGCTGCATTGAAGGTTTTTGTCCCCAACTTATTGTTCTGCGGAGAAGAAATACTGCCACGCTTCTCCTAATCCTATGCATGTATCTTTTGATTCTTTGGCAATTGTGTTGTCTTGCCTGTATTCATTAATGAAGCATCATAGACCCCCCTGGTGTGGGGATAACTTACTGTACTCTTTTTTTTTTTTAATTCTTTTCTTTTTTTGCAGCTGCCATAGGTGAATGGATTATTACTTGCATCGCACAAGTCCGTTCTTCTAATTCGTTCTACGAGCTCCTTCTTTGCGCTTTCCACCTTAGTTGACGAGCATTGTGGGACTCACGTCTATCACGGTCTATGTAATCATCCCCTCGTTGTTGACAGGTGTATGCGAGGGTTTCACCAGATCAGAAGGAGATGATCCTCACTACACTCAAGGGCTGTGGGCGAGTGACGCTGATGTGTGGCGATGGAACAAACGATGTCGGAGCATTGAAACAGGTAGGGAATTAATAAACCTCGTCGCCAAGTTAATGTCTGCCCTTCGTTTTCTTGTATATTCGCAACTGGCTCCTTCCAACTCACCCGCATGTTGTTGGACGATCTCTTCTGTGTATTTTGAGTTTGTCTGTTTTTTCTTTGTCCATGCATGCATGGAAGACGTGTTGTGGTCAGTATATAATTGCCGCATCGCTACTACTTCCGTCATCCGTGAGCAAGTTCACACATGAAGCCGCACAAATTTACAAATAAGAAAAGGGAAAGTGGGACCTGTGCACCAATAAGCCTAGCTCAGTTGGTACACCCACGAGCTGCTGAAATACAGACCCAAGTTTGAATCCAGATGCAATCACATGAACAGAATAAATTAATACTGAGGTACCTTGGGCCGTCACCCTTTAAAAAAAAAAAAAAAAAAAAAAAAAAAAGAAGAAGAAGAAGAAGAAAAAGTGGGACCTGTGCTCTCAGCATACCAAAAGGCTGTTGCTGGATTGCATCTGATGTCTGGCGATGTACGTTATAACATCAGAGCAGGACTGTGGCATTGACAATCCCTATGTATATTCACAACCCCTCCGCCTCCTCCCCCGCCTCCCCCCCTCCTCCCCGCCTACACTCCTTTTCCTCCCAACACACACATCTGTCAACCGCAGAAGATATCCCTGAAGGGTCATCCTCCTCTGTGTTGCAAAAAACATTTTGTAGAGAATGCAGCTTTTGGGCAACATATCTGTTCCCGATCGACCCACAAGGGAACCCCCCTAAGGGCATGCTCTTTGCGGTGAACATATCGCACAGAAATCAGAACCCAATCGGCAAGCTGCTCATGCCATCAGGGGGTCGAATCCCTGTTGTCAAGGCTGCACCTTGGAAGAAACAAGTTTTTCAATGTCTATATCACTTTGGAGAACTCCTATCGGGTTGTCGGTGTATGTGCTTGTTTGTGCATGCCAAGCGGATCCATACGTGGGATTTTCATCTGTGAATCACAACATTGTTATGAACTTGGTTGTTTGACAATTGGATTGCCACTCACACACAACAGAACTCACACATGCCCATACATGCACAAGTCAGGGGGAGGAAGAGACAGTCCACCTGCACACACATCAGAGATACGCAGCGAAATAGCAACCCTGCACAGATGGGGAGAATACACACACAGTGTTCTCTCTCTCTGAAGAACTCCCAACAACCAATCACAATTGACACTGCCCAGATGATGAGCCAACTCAACACAATTAACCCCAATAATCGTTACAGAGTTTAACCCAGTGTCTCGCCACTCAATTACCACCCACTCCACTCACTACCACACACTCAGAGTCTAGCGCTGCACTGAAACAGCCTCCCAGAGGCCAGCGCCATACACCCAGGTGCAGATCATGAGTAGCGAAGTAGTCTCCAGTGTCGATGAGTCCCTCTGACGATGAAGAGGACAGCTATGGCTGTCCGACTGCTACCGCAGCAGCAGAACCCACGTATCCTCAGTGAAGACCTCCGATATAGCCTGCCCACGCAGATATCCCCCGGGGGATAGATGCGTAGAGAGCAGTCCCAGCTATGGCTGTCTCAGATGGCGGCTATGGCTGCTCCACTCACAGCTGATGTCTCCGGTCCCACTGCAGACATTCAGCGCTGCTAAACTTGATTGGCCACCAGCGCTGCACGCGAAAAATGAAAGCCAAAAGTCCCTCTACCGGTTTCCCTTCTCGACTTATAGATTCCTACACTAGCCTAGACCTAGACCGGACTGACTGGACCTACCGGTACCGTTGCTGTTTCGGCCTCTCGGCCTCTACCGGACCCGGCTATAGGCTATAGGACCGTATAGCAGTATAGGCCGCTTAGGGCCTGTCTGTCCTAGGGTAGCCCGGGCCTGCTGTAGGCAGTTAGGGTAGCTGTAGAAATTCGTTCAGTGCCGGGCCTGTATTTTCCTGGAATTGCAATTCTGTCCCTCACGAATTTCCAAACAGGCAGGTCTCTCGGTTAGCCCTCAGCCAAACAAAATTACAAAACTAACCCTACGGTTAGTGTACAGCCTCGCAGTCAATCTCGGCAGCAGAAATCAGCAAGTCATTGCAACATTCTATTTTTACGGGGTTCGGTGAAAATGCCGCTTTGGCCTCAAGATTATATGGGTCCTAACTCATGGCCACATGAGAGTTTAAGTGCAAACGAACGCATTAGAGTTGGAAGTCCCTTCAACTGTCCTTCAGTACATCCGTTAAAATTGGAGTGATACCGAGAGAGAAGATTAATGTGGCCCCTGCTCGAGAATGACGTGCATAAATAAGAGAAAGGGTCCGGATTGAAGGGGGTGTGCGGAGAGGGGGGGAAAGGAAGCTCATTGCTTAATCACTGCCTACAGGCGCGAAATTCAATGGGTCCGAAATTCACAAATCAATTATAAATCAGTCGCTCCCTCGAGGCATCGAACCTGCAACCTGCTGATTGAAAATCAGAAACTTTACCACAAGGAAAGTGGAGCTGGGATGAAACGGAAGCTCACAGAAGAGAATTTCAGCCCACCCCAGCATGGTCAGTACATCACATACAGCCATGAACCGTTGTAGTCAGTCACATCAACCAAATGGCCCTTCAAGCCTAAGCTCAAGGGGTTTGGCATGCGGACCCACACGGGTATAATTTCCCGTGAGCTCAAAGCACGCTGCGTTTGAAGCTCATTGCTTATTTGTTGCCTCCAGGAAGGAGCCTCCGATGCTACAAGCAAACAATTTTTTGAGATTCATTTGTCATCAGGAGGCTCGGCGGGTCGCCATAGAAGCGATGACTCGCCGACACAAAGAGGAAGGAGCCTCAGAGACTACCAGCAAATGTTTTTTGAGCGCTCTCAACCCACCTCGTCATTGTAGTGGTTGGCATTGGTCCTTGCTGTTTGTTGAGGGCACTGAACTGGGAACGTCATGAGGTCGGTGATCATCTCTTTCAGTATGTGTCACATCTCAAGCTGAAAGATGTTCCTTTTTTTTTTCATCTTTTATAAAAGGGTCCAGTTGTACAGGCTGGATGTGAGGCCTTAGTAGATGCCCGCAGTACTCGGTCGTTCGGGAGATCAGATGGATTGTGAAGACCCCTAAGGACAGTCTACTCCAGGTGGCATCATTTTGTTTTCCTATTCTGTCCTAATGATATCATATCGAAAGTTGAGCCCTACAGCGGCACATCCTAGACCTAGAACCCGAAGGAATCATCTGAGACCTTCGGCAGGTGCGGGTGAAGCTGGAAGATGTCTCCACTTGCATCTGTTGGTGACTTCTCTGTACCGGAAGGTAATGAATGGTCTGATGTCTGATATGCTTGCCGCATCTTCAATTTGTCACGAGTACTCGTGACCCTAGGTTTGGGTTGATGGTTTTGTTCCACCAGGATTTCATCTGATGGTGACCCAAATTGCTGGGGTCTTAGGTTACAGAAACATTTGAATTAAAATTGTTAAATACATACCCCACAACGTGTTTGTAGACATCATCAGCGATTGAACACGGCTTGCTCAGATTCTGCTCCTGTACCTAGCTGATATTTTTAGCATTGTGCATGCGATGTGGTTGTCGAACGGTTTGCAGGCACATGTAGGCGTGGCGCTCCTGAATGTGTCCCCGCCGCCTAAGTCGTCATCCATCCGCACTTTGGAGACCAGCTCTTCACACAGTCCGACCTCAACCCTCACTGGAGTGGATGGAAGAAGTGCTCACAGCAGCGGAGGCGGTGAGTGTTGGGGGGCTTGTTTGCCGCTTGTAGGAGTGAAAACTGATACGTTATTATGACTGGAAACTGATACGAAGTTGGATTTTAATGAATGTGCTGTTGCTCCCCAGAATGGATATGAAGCCAGTTCCATAAGGATCTGTTTTCAGGTGGGGGTGAAAAAAAAAAGTGCTGTTGCTTTTCTAACTCTACGAATGCTACTGCTTCACACGGTCCTACCTCAACCCTCACTGGAGCGGATGGAAGAAGTGCTCAAAGCAGCGGAGGTGGTGAGTGTTGGGGGCTTGTTTGTAGCTATTATGACTGATCTTATGTTCTGTGCTTTGCAACATAACACAACCTCTTGGACGTGCCTATGGAAAACTGATACGAAGACAGGAACGAAGTTGGATTTTAATGCTGTTGCTCCCCGAAAGCCACGTCCATAACGACCTGTTTTCAGGTGGTGGAAAAAAAAAAAAAAAAAAAGTGCTGCCCAGAATGTGCTGTTGCTGTTATAACTGTAGGAATGCTACTACTGCTTCACACAGTTCTACGAACTTCTACCTCAACCCCCACTGGAGGAGATGGAAGAAGTGCCCAAAGCAGCAAAGGTGGTGAGTGTTGGGGCCCTTGTTTGCAGCTTTAAGTTGTGATCTCATATGCTGTGCTTCGCACCATAACACAAGCTCTTGGAAATGCCTGTTTTTTGGGGGAAACTGATACGAAGTTGGATTTAGTGTGCTGTTGCTCTCAAAAACTGGATATGGAGCCCGGTCCAGAAGGGCCTCTTTTCGGGCGGGGGAAAGGCAAAAAGTGATGTTGCTTTTCTGTTCTGTAGGAATACTACTTGGAAGCCGGTGGGCTTATCATGAGCTAGGTTGGGGCAGTTCGTGGTCTCGGATCCCGTAGAAATTTCATCTTCGATGCCTCAGGTATTAGCTACAGCCTACAAGTTGTATGCGTTCAGTGGTTTCGTTGCTGTCGAATTCTTCAACCTTGCCTGAAGAAAACTATGGTTGGCGAAGGCCATCTCGAGTGACCTTTTTTACCAGAACTGTTTTTGCAGAAGCAGTGGCAGCCAAAAAAAAAGTGGCAGCCGGCTTGAAACTATTGGATTGTCATTGGCGTCTCATTTCCAAGCTTCTGATTTGTATTCCTTTTCATTCCTGGTTTTCTTCATTTTTCGGCAGGTAGCAATAGCTGAGCCTCCCCTCGGCACGGGTACACCACCATGATACTTAGTACCATATCCTTCTCCCGAGAAAGGAGGTACAGAGTCAGAGCTGCAGTGAACACCTCTGTCAGTGAGTAGGGAGGGACAGAACAACACAGGGTGTAGTGCTATGTCATTTTTTGTTTGGTCGCATTACCCATGAACCGTTGAAAGAAGGGCAGAGTGGACAGAAGAACAAGGGGGGGGGGGGGNGGGGGGGAGAGAGAGAGGGAGAGAGAGAGAGAGAGAGAGAGAGAGAGAGAGAGAGAGAGATTTGGTGAACCTTGCGACAACTGTGTTCAAATCTGGTGATGTGTGTGTTTCTGTGTGATGTACTAAGTTTGTGGGTGTCTGCTTCCGACGACGTTGGTCGACGTTGTGCGCGGACCACGTGTACTCTGTCAATGTATGTTTTTTATTTTTAGTAATTTACTACTATTAGAATTGCTGGTAAGTGAGGACCAAGATTCACAGGGGTTCCTAGGAAATAGCCCAGGCTAAGAGAGAACTTTACAGCTTCCCGCAACTCCAACGAATCTATGTCGAAACCTACAGTGAACATGTGATGCCTTTCTCCATAAATGTGTCCGTGGTATGGAGTCTATGAACTATATCTTCAACTTTTCTGCCCGATTATGATGGGGTGCTATCACTGCTATGTGCTGTTGTTAGCCACACAGCGTGGGGCTGGCCAAGGCGGCTTGAAAGCGCTGGAAAACTGTTTCAGGTGTAGTCTCTGAGGTTCCTTCCTCTTCGACTGACTCATGATTATCGACTATGTATCATTAAACCACCAGTACCCCCAAGCCGCATCTTCCCAATGCTGGATATTGCCCGCCCCTAGAGTACCTAAACGTTGTCGAGGTCGTGCTTGGCAGCGATGCGATATCTGTCGCATTAATTCTTTTGACAAATTGACACGGAAAAGGTTTTGTTCTTTTTCCCTTACCCTATCCAGTGGCATGTAATCGGTGGCAGCAATGTTTTTCGCTTTTTTCCTTTGTGGAAGGAGACGAGTGTAAAAAATCGCCCTCGTGGGGACACTCAAAATTTTGCTCGCTCTTCCCTGGGGCCGCCGACCTCCGGGGTAGGCCCGATTACGTGCGCATCGGGACAAGGTACCTGGGGGGCGGACTGGTGGTCTAACGTGCTACGACTTCAACATGTAATCGATGGCAATTAACGAGTTCCGTTCAAAAAATTCAAACAGGATTGTTAACCTGCTACTACGTCGATCGGTGCGTGCGTGTGGTGCAATTTGGTACAGTTATGTTAAATGACGGAGCGAATCGGCGGCGGAGATCCCAGAGCAGCAGTAGCAGAGGAGGAGGCCTGGCAGCTGCAATTGGTCCTCAAGCAAATGGTGTGGTTCAACGGTCAGGAAGGAGTTTGGCAGGCAGTCCTGAACTCGGTCAAGTCATTGGGGGCTCATCTTCGACGGATGCCAACGGAGCCGTTGTACCGCTGACTCCTGCGGAGCTCCAGCGGCAGCGCTTGTTGAAGAAGCAAGAGCAACTGAAAGCCATGATGGACGAAATGGATCAGTTGCCGACAGTCAAGTTGGGCGATGCGTCAATGGCTTCCCCCTTCACAGCGAAGCATGCGTCAGTCCAACCAACATTGACAATTATTAAGCAGGGGCGCTGTACCCTCGTCACGACAATGCAGGTGTGTGCCTTATGTTGTTTATCTCCCTGTGCTTGGTGCGCGACTGAGCAGATGACAGCAGAATACCCCCATCTGACCTAGTGGAGTTGATTTGTGATTGGTTGGTTCCTTCTCCTACATAGGTCGTGGAAGGAGGAGGAATTCTGTGCCTCTGCCATAGGCCTCTGCGGAGGCTCGGTAGTGCTATTTTCGCTCCGACATAGCAGATCGTCCTGCACCAGCAAAATTTGTTCGTAAAATTCATGTTGTCTTGTCACCGGGGATTACGCTCTTCCTTCAAGTAGTTTTTCTCTCGAAGGACCCGGAAGGCGATAAGGATAGGAAGAATCCTGTGTTTTCAAGTGCACCGTGAACATCCGTTACGGCAACGGAGAAGGACAGAAGGAATGAAGAAGAGAAGGGGGAGGGAAAAGGAGAAGAGAATGAGAAAAGCAAGGGGGAGGAAATGCTAGGGATATCTTTGTGCCGACCGATTTGGCAGTGTTTAGGGGGGTAGGATTGGGTGCTAAGAGATATCGGTATGGCTGTTCAGGGTGGTCCAGGGGTATGTGAGAGGGGTTCAGCGTTTGTGTTAAAGATGTCCAGCGGGCTACGTTGGCATGCTACCCCTCGTTTGTTGTCCTCTTCTCCCTCTCTGCCTACGGTTTACCGGGCAGTTCCCCTCGTTTGTTGTCCTCTTCTCTCTCTCTGCCTACGGTTTACCGGGCAGTTCTGTTTGTGACGATATATACTGGTAACGAAAACTGTGCACCTCAGGTGGCTAACGGCTTAACACAAAGTGGACAGTTCTTTCACTGATTTGATAGCATTGTTTTTTTTTCTGGGCTGTGGAATATCTGCAGATGTTCAAGATTTTGGGGTTGAACTGCTTGGCAATGGCGTACGTGTTGAGTGTCATGTCTCTGGATGGTGTAAAAGTCGGCGACATCCAAGCCATGATCAGCGGGTTGTTTACGGCAGCCTTCTTTCTGTTCATTTCACATGCAAAACCACTGACAACGCTGTCACCGGAACGACCACATGCAAAGATATTCTCATGGTATGTCATGCTATCGCTCATGGGCCAGTTTGCTGTTCATCTGACTTTTCTGGTCATGGCGGTCCGCCAAGCGGAGAAGCATATGCCTGAAGAATGCATCGATCCAGACTCAGAGTTTACTCCAAATCTTGTCAACACGGTTTCATACACAGTCAACATGATGATCCAGGTCAGTTATCCTCCCTTCCCCCCGCTTTCTCCCCCCTTCTCTCTCTCTCTCTCTCTCTCTCTCTCTCTCTCTCTCTCTCTCTCTCTCTCTCTCTCTCTCTCTCTCTCTCTCTCTCTCTCTCTNCTCTCTCTCTCTCTCTCTCTCTCTCTCTCTCTCTCTCTCTCTCTCTCTCTCTCTCTCTCTCTCTCTCTCTGTGTGTGTGTGTGTGTGTGTGTAGCCAGTTTCCAGCTCAACCGAAACGGGTAACAGCCCCAGCTCTTGGGTTGTTTGTGGAGGGATTCCAATAAGTAGATAAATAAATAAAATTTATGCGTGTGTGTGTGCATATTTGTGTGTGAGGGACACTGTGTGTGCGTGAGAGAGAGAGGGAGAGATTTCTTACGATGGAAAGAAATGGGCCCCTCAGCTGCCCCTTATATTTGCAAGTCTATGACCTTTTTCGACACAGCTGAGTCTGATCTGAGTTTTCGCTTTGACCGTCTTTTTTGTGTGTAATCTTGGCAGTGTGCAACTTTTGCTGTGAACTATGTGGGACATCCATTTAATCAGAGTGTGGTAGAGAACAAGCCCTTCTTCTATGCACTGATTGCGGCAGCTGGGTTCTTCACAGTTCTGACATCTGACACAGTCAGGAGTTTGAATGACTCACTGAAGCTTGTGCCATTGCCGGAAGGTATGGGTCATCAGCTGCTGTTGATGTCAGCCGCCGACTTGGTGGTAACCTACACAATAGAAAGGTTGGCACGATGGGCGTTTCCGTCGAGGGTGCCTTCTCTGTCAGCAAGGAGAACAAGAGGGCATCAGGCAAGCAGCGTGGAGAAGGAAGATTGACCGTGGGTATGTTTCTGTTTGACATCCCTTGTTCTGCAATTGCAGTACGACGTATCCATTCTATCCCAGATTCTATCCCCCATCCTATTCGCTGTGTCTGAGTTTCCCTACTGTGCATTATCTCCAGTCGCCCACTGCGCGATGTCTAGCCTCCTTCCCATGTTAGGCAAGATCTACAAGTGGTGTGATCAGGATGAAATCAAGGGGCATGCAGGAAACCAGAGGAGCAGTTTCACGCATCGGCGGCACATGCGTAAGGGTTAGACTCGTCTCAATAGTCCAAGCCAAAGGGGCATACAGGGGACCAGGAGAGGGGTTTTCATTCATTTGCAGCTTCCAGTGGCTTGCCATCACTGAAGTCCCCCTCATTCACTTTATTCCTGCGGCATGGGAGAGGGTTCGACTCCGCTCAGTAGAGTCGAACCCAGAGGGGCATGCCGGGAACCAATAGAGGAGTTTTCGGGGTAACTTTTCGCTGCTTTGCATCTTCATCTTCCATCAAAGCTCCCGTCATTCGCTTTGCTCCTGCGGCATGGAAGAGGTAAATCGAAAAGGAGACATACCAAAAGCAAAGCCCGGTTGGCACCACGGATGTCAAAGAATGAGCTGCTCAATCCGAAACCGACTACCGACCATCTGATGCTTAGTACTCGGTAGGATCTTCCTCTGGTCAGGGTTGGCTGTCGGCGAGATGCTGTTCTTGTCGTGGTGCTTAGTGCTCGGCAGGATTTTCTTCTGGTCGAGTTTGGCTGTCGGCGAGATGCGCTTCTTGTTATGGTCTAAGATCGGCTGCTGCAGGGACGTAAACGTACTTCTTGTCCTCGTCCAGTTTCAGCGCTACTCCTGCTTCTGTCTGGCAGCTTAGGTAGACATTTCTTGTACTGGCTCCCGGTTTGTTTAACGGACGACAGTATGGCCCATGGTATTCATAGCATCTTCTTCTGGTCCAGTTTGGCCATCAGGAGGACACTCTTCTTGTCCTGGTTAAGTTTCAGTGCTGTGCGCTGAACCAATTCCGCTGCTCAGGGAGATGTACTCTGCCTGCTGGTCTAGTTATAAAGTGCTTCCCCCTGTTGAAGTCCTGCTCCGGCTCCAGCTTATGGAGATGTATTTGCCATCCCGGTCCCACTTTAACTGCTTGCTGACAATGGACCTGTGGCCTGGATTTCGGCTTTTGGCAGGATATGCTACCCTACCCAGTCCTATTCTTCCAGCCCTCTGTTCCAGTTGTCCTATTTTATCAGCCCTCTGGTTCAATCCTGCCCCCAGGTTAACCACTGGCCCTGGTCCAGTTTGACCACTGGTCCTGGTGGCCTGGATTTCAGCTTTTGGCAGGATGTTACCTCTGGTCCAGTTCAACGATCGACCCGGGTTCAATCCTGCCCCAGGTTAACCACTGGCCACCCTACCCACTGCTTTTCTATCAGCCCTCTGGTCCAGTTGTCCGATCGACCCTGGTGCAATCCTGCCCCAGGTTAACCACTGGCCCTGGTCCAGTTTGACCACTGGCCCTGGTCCAGTTTGACCATTTGTCCTGGTGCTGGTTCGCTCCTGGTTGGCTGCTGCTTGAGCTTGGGGTTGACATTTTCTGTGTGTGGGAATAGCTGGCCGCAGTGGCCGGGCAGTTGGCGATCTCAAAAGGAAAAGGGTGCGGAAAAAGTGGCAAGGAGAGCAGACCAAAGGAAAATGGACCGGTATTGGGATGAAGTGGAGAACAGCAGAGGATCTTGGGAACGGGGCAGGTATTAAAACAGCACTACCGGTAGCTCCGAGCCTATTTTTCCTGACGCGGAACGTGGCAAACAAAAGAACCGATGAGTCAGCGGTCACTTTCATTCGAAGAACGCGGCGGTGGTAAACCAACTCGTCGTCCTCTCTGCCTTCAGAAAGGTAGTTGTGGTTTAGGTCTTTTAAGTGTGTATCTGATCATCGTGTGTGTCCAGTAGCATCTACGGGCGCTGATAAACCGTGTGACCGCACGGGAAGAGGTAATGTTGGCAGGCATGTCACGAAATGCGGGCTCTGAAAAGATCCATCCATGGCAAATGGTGGGTAGCAGAGAGGATAAAGGAAATGAATGCCCATCATTTCGGCGGAGGTCTGTACCACGCTCTTGTCTCGAGTTGTGCTGGTCTTGTCTTTAAGATTTCGAAAGTGAGCACTTCTCATCGGTTACGAAGTTGCTGTCGTTGTGGCTTTTTCCCCATCGAGGGCAGCAGAGGGGGTGCGGAGGGTGGTGTCCGTTGTGACGGCGTTGCCTGAAAAAACTGGAAGGCAATGTTCTTTGTAATGTGACCTGCCCAGTTGCCTGGCATATCACTTGCAAAGTCGCTGTCTTCGTGGCTTTTGGCCATTTAGGGCAGCAGAGGGGGTGCGGAGGGTGATGTGCGTTGTGTGAAAACATTTAAGGAAATGTTCGTTGTAGTGTGACCTGTCCAGGTGCCTGGAGGCAGAAGCGGAGAAACAGGAGAGGCGTGTATGAGCAAACCATGGCAGCCGATGAAACCAAGTCCAGAGATTGTGATACAGACTGGAGAGAGACATGTGAGGAGAGACGTGTGAGGAGAGACGTGTGAGGAGAGACGTGTGAGGAGAGATGTGTGAGGAGAGATGTGTGAGGCGAGATGCAGGAAGGAGACGTGAAAAATGACAGTGGTGGGAAGTGAGAGGAAAAGATAGGAGATTGAGGTACAACAGAATGTGGGTTGCTTTCGTAGACAAGAGAGATTGGAAGAAGAAGGTTGGTGGAAAAGGAGTTGTGTCACCTAATTGAAGTTTGTCGGGAGATCTGCGGTCTCGAAGAGACATGGGTAGGAAATGACTAGGAACTTTCATGCTTGATCCGGTGTTCTCCCTGGCGTGATCTTCTTGGCGTGATCGTCCTATGCTGTGCATTCGGGGGGGCAGGAGGAGCGGGGGGGAAGGGCAGGCAAAGCCAAAATTTGCAATCTTCATACAATTGGTGCTGATACTCATTTGACAGGGTACTAACGTCCTTCTCCTCCTCAGTCTCCATCCTCATTTGTATGCTTTTTTTTTTCTTTTTTTTTTTGTATGCTTTGTTCCTTCGTGGGTTTTTTTTTTTTTTCCCCCTTTCCTGTTCTGAAATTCTGCCAAGATTTTCCATTTGGCACCGTTATCAGCCGTATGCCTCTCTCCTCTTTCTACCAATCAGAGATGATGATGATGTATAACCATCCACCCCTCTATCCCACATGGCTTGCTCCTGTCATTGCTGGAACGACAAGCTCCAGTCATAACGTTTGTGACGGTTTGTCTTTTTCTGAAGTTTTTCATGATTTTCCTCCTTCCGCTGGATTCACTCTGTGAGAAAGCCATGTGGGATGGAGGGGTGGATGGTTATAAAAAACTTGCATTCAAATTGATTTCTTATTTCTCCACTACATAGATCATTTTCAACTCACAGATGAAAATGTACTATGTAGTGGAGAAAGAAGAAATCATTTTGAATGCAAGTTTTTTAAGATTTAACCCTTTTGTTAT